TGTGTAGCCGATTCGTCTCGTCGCCTGTCCTTACTCTTGGTGTGGTCGGCGTGACACGCTGAGTGCTCTCAGAAATGGTGGAGCGAAGTAGGTCGTGCCTTGGCGATGTGTCGGAGGTGGCGGCGTAGGAGCCAGGTGGCGCTCGTGGAGGTGTCAACCTGCGCGAGGTGCCATCTGGGGGGACCCTCCCCAGTATGGCAGTCGATCTTGGGTGGGGGCGCGAACCGCTCGAGTGGATTTCCCACTCTTCGGTCGGGTGGCGCCTATGGTGGATAGTTGTTGGTTGTCCATCGGTTGCGTCGTGTTGGTCGTGTGAGGCAAGTGAAACTACTGCCGTTGTCCGTCGGGTCTGATCTGCTATCCCCAAAGCAGGAGTCAGTGCACGTGGACTGGTGGTGTGTGTCGGAGGGTGGCTGTCAGAAGTGCAAGTCACCTGCACCCCCTGGGTCGTCAGGTTGGTTGCGGTCTGCAAGCTAGTGGAGTCTGCTATCGAGGAGGGAAGATGGCAGAGTCGGCTGTCTATGTTGCCTGGCGCTCGGTGCTGGTCCGCGGTCCCCAAAGCGGGTGTCAGCCTGTCGAGGTCAGTCGATGTAGGCTTCCCTAGTGGAAGTCGGGGTGGGTGTGCGTGTCTGAAGCTGCAAGTTACCTGCACCGCAGGGGTCGCAAGGTTCGTTGCTGCGTCTGTGACATTGTGATGCTGTGTGGCGCTGAGCCGAGAGTTGCGTATGGACGCTTGAGGCCGCCCAGGGGCCTGTTGCTCTGGTCTTTTTCGACGGGTCCGATGAGCCAGAGCGCCCTCATCGGGGTCGTTCGTATCTAGTTTTTTGGCCGCAGCGCGGTGTCCGATCCTTCATCGTCGGGATCGGCACGGAGAGGGACGCGGTCGGATATGTCCACGAAGCCGTCACCGCTGTCGTGGATACGGACCTTCCGCGGTGGTCGTGATGTGGGGTCCTGTCTCTTAAGGGCCGATCGGATTCGTGAGGGTGGCGCTGACTGGGCCCTGTCGGGCGTTCCCATATGGAATCTGGGTGGAGGGATGATGGGGCTGTAGGCTTGGGTTGGGGTGATGCTGGTGATCGGTCGAGTCTTGGGCGTGGTGGGTACTTCGTGCTCGTCGTCGCTGAGATCGATGAGAATTGTGGTGTGGGGCGTGGAACGCTGTTGGTCGTCGGGTGTCGATCTCGTGTCGGGGGGGGCGGACATGGCACGTACTTCAGGGAAGATGATGTGTGGGGTGGGGGGAGTGGCCTGCTCAGCTGGGATGGGGGTGTCGGTGCCTTCGAGGTCGGAGTCGTGATGAATGTCAGGAATGGGCGTAGACTGTCCGTCGTCGTGCTGAGAGAGGTAGCCGTCGTCGGCGATGGGCGTGGGAGAGCACGAAGATCTTGGAGAGCTCGATTGGTGTGCTTGTGTATCGCCGTGGTGTGCTTCAGAGGGCTTGTCGTGGTCGGCATCGCTGAGTGGGGCGATACTGGCTGGAGGGTGTATGGGCGTTCTGTCGCGTGTGTGGTCGGGGTTCGGGGCGGGTGGTGAGGTGGGTGGTGCGGCTGCAGAGCCGAGGTCTCGTGAGCTCCATGCGTCTGAGTTGGACGTGGAATGATCTGCGTTCGGTGGAGAGCTCATCTGTCGTAGCTGCTCGAGGTAGATGTCGGCGTGTGGGTGAGGCATCTCGTAGGGGCCTGGGATGATCGCGGTGAGGGCGCCTTCGATCTCGCGGTGGATGCGCTTCTCCTCTGAGTCGGCTAACGCCTGCTGTCTGTTTTCCTCCTCGTCTCTCTCGCTGAATCTCGTGTTCAATTCTTGCAACAGTTCAAGATCAAGAGGGTCATGATGAAGCTCGGCTTGTCGAAACTCACGTTGCATTTCCTCCCTTTCCTTTATTCGCATCTCCTCGGTCGTCGCCAGGCGGTTGATGTACCTGTCGTGGAGCTGCTGCTCGGTGAGGTGTAGGTTGGCACGTTCGCCTTGGAGTCGGGCTCGTTCGTGCTGGTGCTCGGTTCGAATCGTGGCTGCTTCGTGTTGTTGCGCACGCAGTTCGCCGTACTCCTCGAGGATCTTCTCTTTGGCTTGCATGAGTGCCGATGATTCCGCCTGAGCCCTGCAGTTGATTTCGTGAAGCTGTCGTTGCTGAGCCAGTCGAAGTGCGTCTTCTTGTTGCTGCCCTCTCATCTCGTGCTGAAGTAGGAGGTTGTGAGCACACTGAGCTTCCTCCTGTTGAAGGCGGTGTTCAGATATTAGATGCTGGAGCCAGAATGGCTTAGCCTCCCGTAGTTCTTGTTGCTGTACTGCTTCCCGCCGTGCAAGGTGACCGCATGCAGCGTCGTGAAGTGGTTGATGCTGTTCGAGCTCGGTCTTCATGCGATGTGCCTGTTCAGCTTCATCTTCCTGACGTCGTTGTTCGGACTGTCGTAGGACCCGTTGTACTTGCTGATGTTCTTGGTGGCGGCTGCGCACGTTGATCTCGTCTATCTCCTCCTGGAAGCGGCGCTGGAGTCGTTGCTCGTGGTGCTGTAGTTCGAGATGAAGCTCGTTGAAGGCCTTCCGAGACGTGTGTGCTTCCATGCGCGCGAACTCCTCCTGCAACTGTTCGCGGTGCTCGGATTGTCGGAGATCAGCTTGTTGGTGGAGGTGAGCTAGGTGGTGCTGATGGAGTCCCGTGTGTTGTCGCTGCTGGTCCACCTTTTTGGAGAGGTCTGTGATCATCTCGAGCAGCTCTTTGTGACCTTTTTGGTGTGGGTCGTCCTGCTGTCGAAGTGGTGCTGCTGCTGGTGCTGCGTACTTCTGGGGTCGATGGTCTTCGCGCTGTCGTGGGTGAGGTGTCTGTGTCCGAGTCCTGCGCCTGTTGTGGTGGTCCTTCTCTCTCTCGTCGTTGTCGCTGTAGACGTCGTCGTACTCGAGGTCGGATGTGGCGTCGTCCCTCTTCGACTTTGACTCCTGGAGTAGAGCCCGTAGTGTCCTCAAGCTGCCTTCCGTGTTGTCGAACTCGGTCTGCATCTTCCTGATGTCGTCCTTGAGCGCATTCTTTCGCCTGACCGTGTTGTCGATGCATCGGCGGTAGTAGTGCACCCGCTCGTCGGGAGACAACGTGAGGAGGAGCATTGCCTTGTTGACAGACAGCTCGGCGACGATCTTGGAATCGTCGACGCCGACGGCGCGTGCGCCCTGAGCTTGGTCTGCCAACCTAGCGATGCGTCCGCGCTTGGTTGTCACCCAAAGGCGGCGCATGTCCTCCTCCAGCGGGGGCGTGGAGAAGCTCTCGTGGGACTGCATGCGCACGTCGTCGGCAGGGAGGACGTGGTCGAGGATCTCGCGCTGCTTCTTGGAGAACTGGAAGCCGTCGAAGAAGTTGTGCGCGTTGTAGTGCTTCCTGTTCTGCGTCCGTGTCGTTGTGCGAGGTGTGGAGCGAGTTCGTGATCCTTTCTTGTAGGTGTCCTCGCCTTGGTGCTGCTGGCGGTGGCTGTTGCGGTCCTGCTGCCAGCTCTTGTCGTCCTTCTGGTGGTCCTTCTGGTGGTTGTCGCGGTCCTGCTGCCAGCTCTGGTCGTTCTTCTGGTGGTTGTGGTTGTTCTGGTTGTTGGCCGTCGACCTGCCACGCGACTGCCTTCTCCATGGCCAGGGCTGCGCTCCGACAGGCGGTCCCAATGTCCACTGCTGCGCCATCTCGTTCTGCTGGTGGCGCTGGAACTGCTGGTTGCACTGGTGCTTCTGTGCGGAGTGGTGCTGGTCCAGCACCTGCGCCGCCGAACAGACCCTCAGCAGCACCCTGGCCTCTGCGCGCTGCTGCCTGGCGCGGCGGTGCCAGGCCGGCTCGCCGACGGTGCGCGGCGTGGCGGCCGCCTCCAGCGCGGCCTGGCGGGGGCCAGGCGTCCGCGCTCGCCGCCTCCTCGCAGGTGGCGGCCCGAGGGGGCGGCAGCTCGGCGGCGCCCGCGGGCGTGCGGCTGCAGCGGCTGCCGATTGCAACCGCCGCGGCGCGCGGCCACGAGGGGCAGGGGGCGGGCCGACGACGACGACGGCTGGCCCCGCTCTCCTCAGCCCGTGGCTACCTCCTCCTCCTCCTCCTCCTCCTACTCCTCCTCGTCCCGCCTGCATTCCTCCGAACCGTTGCTTCTCAGGGCATCCTCGCTCAGCCCTGCCCCATCCCTTCCAATCTTACCCGCCCCCTGTTCCTGCTCCTCAGAAGACTGGCCCGCTAGGCGAGTTGTCCGTAGGCAATAAGGACCCCTGAGATCCGACGTGACGAAAAACATGCAATATCGTGGAAAATCACACCCGGAGCCCTAGACCCACCCATCTTTCGGCGTCATTTTGCGAGCCGGATCGATCTGTGAGGGCCCCAGGGCCTGAAATTGAGCGAAAACGCCCAGCTCGAAAAATGCAGTCGCCAAGGTCTCAGGGAAAAGGGTTGGAAACTGCCCCGATCCCCGGAGCGTTCCCCGGGACCGCCCCCCATCGAACGAACTCTCTGCGCCGTTTCTCGACGAACCGGAGGAACTGGGAAGGGCCCACAGGGCCCGAAGCCGGCGGAATCGACTCCAGCACCTGTTAGATGCTGGTTCTGGGTGCCCCCCCCTGAGATCCTGGCGACTCAACTGTTTCTTTCGAGCCGGACGTTTTCGCTCCATTTCGGGCCCTGGGACCCTCACAGATCGATCCAGCTCGCAAAAAGGACGCAGAAAGAGATGGGGTCCAGGGCCTGGTCATGATCTTCTGCGGTGTTACATTTTTTGCGCAACGTCGGATCTCAGGGCCATGACTGGTGGGCCTGTTTTCCACGACCACCACCATGAGCAGGAGGGGGAGGGGGTCCTCCTCCTCCTCCTCTTCTTCCTCCTCCTCTTCTCCCTCATCATCCACATCCTCCCCCCCCCCCCACACCGACTTCTGGTGGTGGTGGCGGGGGAAAACAAGCCCATGAATGACATCTGACAGATGGGGGCCTGATTCACGGAGGGCCCCCTCTTTCGAGGCTGCTCCGCCAAGCGGACTGCTTGGTCCCGTGCCTGGCTGGCCTGGCGCTGCGGCGGATCGTCGCCGCCCTCCGCGCGGGCCTCCACCTCCTGCTCCTCGGGCGGCGGGTCGGCCAGGGTGAGCATCGTGTCACCGATCCCTATCTCCACGGGCGGGGCCTGGGCCCCAATGGCCGATGGACCCCCGGGGTGGGGATGAAGGATACAGGCGAGCCCCTTCGGGCCTCGAGGGGCATGGTGATCCCCCACTCGGGTGGTGGAATGGTGGGGATGTGGACGGGGATGGACAAGGGGATGGGGATCGGTTGCACGATGCCGACAGCAGGTGATGACACCGGGAGATCTCAAGCTGTGATCCCTGAGATCCTTGCGACTCTATTCTGTCGAGCTGGGCGTTTTCGCCTCTTGTCGGGCCCCAGACCGTCACAGATCGATGGGGCTCGAACAATGGCGCAGAAGGGATGGGGCCTCTAGGGCAACGGGCGTGCTTTTTCGCGGTGCTGCATTTTGTTGCTGCGTCGGATCTCAAGGATTGCGCAGTGCTTCCGCCTGGCTCTGGGACTTGTCTTGCGGCTTCTGGACTCGAGCCTCGGCAGCTACGGATCGCAGCACATGCACGCGAGCATACAGTAGGGGCCCGACCACAAGAAATCTTCCACAAGAAACCCAACCCTGAGACCCCAGGACGCCCACTGGTTTTTGGTGTAGGCACGTCGCGCTCTCCACGGCAAAACCCTCGAATCCCAAGAAACCAAGCGGCACCCTGGAGAGAGAGCGGTCTTGTTATTCGGTGTTTCGACATTGGGCGGAAGGGGAGGGGAGGAGGATGAGGAGGAGGAGGAGGGGAGGAGGAAAGAGGAGGAGGTCAGGAGGAGGAAGGAAGGAGGAGGAGGAGGAGGAGGAGAGGAGGAGAGGTGAGGGAGGGGAAGGAGGAGGAGGAGGAGAGGAGGAGGAGGAGGCGGAGAGGAGAGAGGAGGGAGGGGAGGAGGAGGAGAGGAGGAGGGGAGGGAGTGGAGGAGGGGGAGGAGGAGGAGGAGGAGGGGGGGTCTGGCTCCGGACCTCTGCTCAATGCGACTGCCTGCAGCACTGCCTCTGGGGGCGGCCCCAGCTGCCCGAAACGGGCGCCAGAGACAGCCAAGACCTGCTCCCTACTCCACGGTGGGGGGGGGATTAAGTCGGGCCTGTCCTCCTCCAGAGGGAGTTTGCACGAACATTTAATCATACTCAAAACATGCACCAAATAGGGTCAACAAGAATGAATTTTACTAGTTTTGAAGATTCCCGCAGCAAATCGTGCAGATCGTGTGCAAGCACGGGCTGCGGCGGCAGCGATGCCTTGCAGGACACGGAAGGAGTGAGGCGAGACGAGAAGTGCGCTCGAGAATTGCGTTGCGTTGCACTGCAACTACAGGGCAGCTTTTAATACATAGGCTCTTTAAAAGTATGGCATTTGTAATACATGATTAGTTTATGAACAAATTTATGCGTGAACTCACCGTTGCTTTTAATACTAAAACCTGGCATTTTTTATAGATGATCCGCACGCGGAGCATGTATTAAAAACTGCACTGTTGTGTACTGCGCGCGAAAATCCAGCAATACGCCTGCGCTCCAGAATGCAGTGCGCGCCCCGAATCTACTGCACCACCCACAAATCTATTGCACCAGATCCACTGCACCCCCCCCCTTGTCGCTGGACCCCCTTTTTAGGAAGAAGCAACTGGGAGGTTTTCGTCGGAAAGATTAAAAAGGATTAAGCCCCATTGGGGGGCTGTTACTCCAGTGCGGGCCTCGGATCAAGCGGGGTTAGGCCGGATTAAGCGGGATTCAGCGGGATTGAGCTGGATTAATCGGGATTAAGCGGGATTGAGCCGGATGAAGTGAGATGTCGGACCAGGGCTAAATCAGAATTGGACCTCCCAGGAGTTGCATCCGAATCCTTGCTTTTGGGTCAACCATCCCTAAGGGCTTGTCGACTTTTCGCCAATCGACTTGTGGGGACCGAGCCTGATAAATCCAGGTAAATGGCAGATACATCGAAATAACTCCCGGTGAATCCAGGTAAATCGAGAGAAATCCAGGTAATTCCAGGTAAATCCAGAGATCTCCAGGGAAAGTTGGAGCAACTCGCGGCCGCTCCAGCGCGAGTCGAAGGACGGCAGAAGTCGTTAAGCCTTTAACGAAACCAGCAGCAACTCGTGCAAAGCATGTGCACTCGCGAGGGCTGCCGTGGCAGCGATGCCTGCTAAGCACACGGCAGGAGGCGAGGCGAGGCGAGGGGCGAGCAGGCCCGGAGCCCATCTCGGGTCGTGCAACCAATGGCTATTTTTCTTCCTCCTACGCCTCCTCCTCCCCCTCCTCCTCCTCCTCCTCCTCCTCCTCCTCCTCCTTCCTCCTCCTCCACCTCCCCCTCCTCCTCCTCCTCCTCCTCCTCCTCCTCCTCCTCTCCTCCTCCTCCTCCTCCACCTCCCCCTCCTCCCCCTCCTCCTCCTCCTCCCCCCCCTCCCCGCCTCCTCCTCTCCTCCTCCTCCTCCTCCCTCCTCCTCCCTCCCTCTCCTCCTCCCTCCTCCGCCTCCTCCTCCTCCTCCTCCTCCTCCTCCTCCTCCTCCTCTCCTCCCTCCTCGCCCTCTCCTCCTCCTCCTCCTCCTCCTCCTCCTCCTCCTCCTCCTCCTCCTCCTCCTCCTCCTCCTCCTCCTCCCCTCCTCCTCCTCCTCCTGCTCCTCCTCCGCCTCCGCCTCCCCCTCCCTCCTCCTCCTCCTCCTCCTCCTCCTTCCCTCCTCCTCCTCCTCCTCCTCCTCCTCCTCCTCCTCCTCCTCCGGCGGCACGTGCGCGGCCCAGAGGGGGGGGGGGGGCGGGGACGTAATGAAATTAGAAGAGGCGCCATGAAATCTAGGGAGATGTCATAGCTCCCGCCATGATATCCCCCCCCCCCAGTCATCACACCCCTCTTTGCCGCCCCTGAACTGCGCCGGATTGGGCCGCGGACTAAGCGGGATTTGATTGGATCACGCGGGATGAAGCCGGATTCAGCGGGATCAAGCCGGATTCAGCTGGAGTTCGGACAAAGGAAAAAAGAGCTTGACCTTGCAGGAGTTGCATCCAAACGTATGCAACTGCGAGTCCCGCAAGGCAGGTGAAACGAAAGAGGAGGCGAACAAATTACGAAGAGCGTCGGAAGCGGCCACTTTCTCGCAGGCAGCGCTCCGAAAACAAGACGGGGCACGGGGCAACTTGGATATAGGTGTCGGCGGACGGATGACGAGGTCCCAATAGGGGGAGTGTGAGGCCCCGAACCGTGCGAGGAGTGTGCGGGAATGAGAAGCGGGGACGCATGCGACTCTTGCCTACTGCGGCATTTGGTGGAGCTCCGGTGGAGCCACGAAGCGTGTGAGGGGTGTGCCGGCATGTAAGGCGGAAGCGCCTGCGAACCCTGCTTCTGGGGCCTCAGGTGGAGCCCCATGTGGAGCCACGGAACGCGTCAGGGTCGAGGTGGGAACTCATGCGAACGCTGCCACTGGGACCTTTGTTGGAGCTCCGTGTAGGGCCACGGAATCTGTAAGGCGTGTGCCGACAGGAGAGGCGGGAACTGGTGCGAACTCTGCCAATGGGGCCTTCGGTGGAGCTCCGTGTGGGGCCACGAAACGTTTGCGGGGTGTGCCGAAATCAGAGGCGGGAACTCATGCGAACACTGCCGCTGGACCCTTCGGTGGAGCTCCCTACGGGGCCACGAACCGGGCGAGGGGTGTGCCGAAATGGGAGGCGGGAACTCATGCTGCCGCTGGGGCCTTCAGTGGAGCTCCCATTGCGGCGACGAAACGTGTGAGAGATGTGCCGCCAGGAGAGGTGGAAAACCCATGCAAGCTTGCCACAGGGACCTCCGAAGGAGATCCTTCCTTTTGGTGCAACGAAACGTGCAAGGGGCGTGCCGGGGTGAGAGCTGGGAAACTCATGCAAACGCTGCCACTGGGGCCGCCGGTGGAGCTCTGTAAAAACGTGCGGGGGTGGGAACCGACATTGCATGCAGGAACTCATGCGAACGCTGCCGCCGCTGGGGCCTTAGGTGGAGCTCCGTGTGGGGCCACGACATGTGTAAGAGGTATGCCAGGATGAGAGGCGAGAGGTCATGCCAACGCTGCCGCTGGGGCCTTTCGTGGAATTCCCTCCGGGCCACGAGGCGTGTGAGTGGCGTGCCGAAATGAGAGGCGGGAGCTCCTGTCAACGCTGCCGCTGAGGCCTTTGGTGAAGCTCCCAATGGCCCATGGGAACGCGAAGCGTGCGTGGGGGGCCAGCATGAGAGGCTGAAACTCATGACATCGCTGCCACTGGGGCTTTCGGTGGAGCTCCGTGTAGGGCCACGGCACGTGCAAGAGGAGTTCCGACATGCTGAGCGGGAACTCATGCGAACGCTGCCGCTGGGGCCTTCGTTGCAGCTCCCTATGGGGCCACAGGACGTGTACGAAGTGTGCCGACATGAAAGGCGGGAACTCATGCGAACGCTAAGGAGGGAGGATCGGGAGGAGGAGGAGGAGGAGGAGGAGGAGGAGGAGGAGAAGGAGGAGGAGGAGGAGGAGGAGGAGGAGTAGGAGCAGGAGGAGGAGGAGTGGAGCAGGAGGAGGAGCAGCAGGAGGAGGAGGAGGAGGAGGAGGCTGGCGGACTGGCGGCGCTGAGAAGGGCTGGAGCAAGGCGCGCGGCGGCGGCTGCCGGCGCTGCCCTGGAGCGCCGATGGGACAGGCGGCCGCGGGCGGCGGCGGGCGGCGGCGGCGGGCGCGAGGAGGCCGCCTGTGCGTCGTCCTCGCGGTGCGGACCGCGCTCCCAGGCAACGGAGCCAGCAGGCCCTGGCCGGCAGACACCTTCCCCCTGCGAGCGGCCGCCCCTCCCCCTCCCCCTCCCCCTCCCCTCCTCCTCCTCCCTCCTCCTCCTCCTCTCTCCTCCTCCTCCTCCTCCTCCTCCTCCCTCCTCCTCTCCTCCTCCTCCTCCTCCTCCTGGCCGTGGCTGGTCGCCCCCGGCAGCTGGTCGCCCCCGGGAGCGCCGTCCTCCCGGAGGGGGGGACGGCGGCCGTGTCTGCCGGCGCCTGTTCACGGTGCTCCAAGGCGCTGCGGGAGCCCGCGCCCGCCGCTCGGAGGACAGGAGGAGGGAGGGCGAGGTGTCGATGGCGATGAAGAGGGAGACAGAGAGGAGGGAGGAGGAGGAGGAGGAGGAGGAGGAGGAGGAAAAGCAGAGCAGGAGAGGAGAGGAGGGGAACGCGTGGTCGGCGCTGCTGATCCAAAACGAGGACCCAACACACACACACACGAACACACACACACACGAACACACACACACACGAACACACACACACACACACATACATACATACATACATACATACATACATACATACATACATACATACATACATACATACATACATACACACATACACACATACACACCACAGGATGGCTCAGAAAAAAATCAGCCGCAACGCTCTCTGGAGAACCGAAAGCGGGGAACTCGCCAATCAGTTTTGCAGGATGAGGTCTCCGTCAACCTACTAACTTTCGAAGCCCCGCGCGGACTTCTGACATCGGCGCTGGGCCCCCCTCTCTGCCGCGCTCAGATTTTTTTTGTTTATGTCATTCTCTTGTCCCTCTCGAGCAGGGACCGACCGTCCCGGCATTCTCCTATAGGCGTACCACGAAAGGTTTTGAGAACCCTCCAAACATGTTCTCAGAACAAAAGCAATGTGCTTAGAGCATGAACCCGATGTGTTCAAGCAAGACAGTCCCAGCCAGAAAGGCTCTGAGAACATTTCGTGCAGACCAAAGGCTCTTAGAACATTCTTCGGCAGGCCTATAGGCAAGCCAGGACGCTTCGCCACTGCTCGGCCCTTGATCATTGGAGGCCCGCCCCCTCCTTCGGAAGACATGGCTGGCAGACGGTGCCAGCGCCAGGGGGCTGCGGGGGCTCTGTGATGCGCGCCGCGGCCTCCGCGGCGCGGCCGTCGCACGCGCTGTCGTGGCCCGTCCCCTTGGCGCAGCCGGCGCAGCACGTCTTGAAGGGCCGGCCCTTCCTCGGAGGACGCCAGCAACCCCAGACATGCGGCGTCTCGAGCAAGATCGACGCACAGGTTGGCCATTGTTCTGGGCCTCTCGGGGACCTTGGCGGGCCTCGGGGGCGTCCGAAAACCACTCGGGATGAAACACGTCGGTCCCGGGGTCGTGGTCGAGAGGTCGGGGGCCCATGCCCCGAACATCATCAAGGCGCGGGGAGTCTGGGATATACGGTCAGGAGCCTGCGCTTCTCCGAGGTAGAAGGCGTGGCAACGCCTGGGTTCGCCCGCCTTCGGGCCCCGCGGACAATCCTGGTCAGGCCAAGAAGGAATATGCAGCCAGACCTCAGTGGGCCCTGGAAACGATAGGGCCGTTCTTTTGCCGGCTCCGTTTTGCCGTTTCTGTTGCCGGTTCCGACGCCGTTTTTTACCGGTTCCGTCGCCGTTTTTTGACCGGTTCCGGCTCCGGCTCCAATCCTGGAGCCGTTTTTTGCCGTTTCCGGTCGCCTTTTTTTGCCGTTCCCATTTTCAAGGGACATTTTTGGGGGAAACGGTGAAAAAACGGCCCTGCCGCTTCCGGGGCCCACAGAGAGCCAGACATCCGAGGCCTTGCCCCGAGGTCCGAGCGTGTAAGTTTTCGAGAGCCGGAGCGATGTGTGTGAGGGCCCCAGGGCCCGAAGTGAAGCGACAACGCCCAGGTGAGCGTCTATTTGTATTCGGCGTTTCGACATTGGGCGGAGAGGGGGGGGGATGGGGGGGGGGTTCAGCAGGGGCCGACCGTCCCGGCATTCCTACAGTCATACCACGACATGTTCCTAGAACCCAAACATGTGCTAAGAACAAAACCAGTGTTCTTAGAACAGAAACCCGATGTGTTAAAACAAGACAGTCCCAGGCAGAAATGTTCTGAGAGCATTTCGTGGGAACCACAAAAGGTTCTTAGAACATTGTCTGGTGGGGCTATGGGCGGGCCGGGATGCTTCGCCACTGCTTGAGGGGTGGGCTCTGGCTCCAGACCTCTGCTCAGTGCGACGGTTTGCAAGAGCGCTGCCTCGGGGGAAGACTCCCCCCGCTCGAGAGACAGGCGCCTAAAAGCAGCCCAGATCTACTCCACAGGGGAGGGGGGAGGGGGGGGGAGGGGGGCCCGCGCAGATCGGCAACACGGTGAATAATAAAACGAACACTGGCTCGAACCAGTGGAGTCGCCAGGATCTCAGGGCGATTCTTTCGAGACGGGGCCCACGGTTAGCCTTATGTCGGACATGTCCTCCTACGGGCGGATTTGGCAGGACAAAAACAGCTATTAAATGCTCAAAACCAAGCAAAAATACTGAAACGTCATCCCCTGACTATTTTTTACTGTTGTTGAATATTCCTCCTGTAGAGGGACATGCCCGACTTAAGGTTAGCCTGCTGCCACTGCGCGGGGTCCACCCGGGCACCCAAGATCCCCGAGCCAGTCCCTGACGGTGCTGCAGGAGCCCGCCAGGGGCCCGCGGAGGCCAAACTCTTCCCGTCGTGACCTGGTTCTGGAAGGCCGATCGATTCCCCAGACACGATCGCGTCGTAAACAAAAATCAGGGCGGGAAGGTTTTGGCCGTTTTCGGCCTCGGGGAGACCTCGCCTGGCCTCGGGACCGTCCAAAAAACGACTCGGGATGCGAAGCTGGTCGTGGGGAAAGGGTCTGGACTTCCAGGGACGCCGTCCTGAACAAAAACCAGACGTCGCACGTTTGGGTCTGGAACCTCCCAGTGACCTGCCAAGAACATGAACTTCGAATACTATGTATGGTGACCTGCCTGCTGTTCTCTAGAGAATGTAAGGTTCACGACGCGAGCAAGCCTGGACACGGATCCTTAGAGCCTTAGAGGCCTCCCAGAGGGAGCTCGAATAGATGGGGCCGGAGGATTGCACCTGATCGGAGACGTTGGCGATGCATAGGCGACATTGGCGTGGAGCACATCGGGCTCCACACCGAGCCGCATCGCCGATGTATCGGCGATGCATCGGCGATGCGGCGCCATCCTCGGGCCCCATCTGGGAGGCCTAGAAGTGTGAGTGTTTTCTGATTCGGCGTTCCGGCAGTGGGCGGAAGGGGGGGGGTGTGAGGGGGAAGGCCTGGCCCTGGACCTCTGCTTACGGCGCCTGTCTGCAGCGGTGCGTCATGTGGGGGCGGGGCCCCGCTTGCTCGAAACGGGAGCCAAAAATCAGCCAAGATCTACTCCATGCGGATGGGGGGAGGGCCCGCGCCGATCGGCAAGACAATGATGAAGAAAAGGAGAACACAACCAAGGTTCTTGAGCATGGACCAACCGTCCCGGCATTCCTATAGGCCTACCACGACATGTTCTTAGAACCCGAAAATGTTCCAATAACAAGGATTACATTTTCAGCACCTAAACCCGAGGTGTTGACACTGGACGGTCTCAGCCAGCAATGTTCTGAGGACCTTACGTGCAGACCACGACAGGTTCTCAGAACATTCTCTGGTGGGCCTACAGGCCAGCCAGGACGCCTCGCCACTGCTTGAAATGTATGCACGCGGATCCTGAGCCAGGATCGGCCCGGCCAGGACCGACGCGCAGGGGCAGGAGTTCTTGGTTGGCCTATTTTCCACTACCACCTCCACCACAGGTGGAGGGAGACGGGGTCCTCCTCTTCCTCCTCCTCCTCCTACTCCTCCTCCTCCTTCTCGTCCTCCTCCTCTCCGTCCTCCTCCTCCCCGTCCTCCTCCTCCTTCCCCCCTCCAGCTCATGCTGATGGTGGTGGAAAACAGGCCCATCAGTTCTGGCACCCTCGTGGCTCCTGTCCAGTCCATCGCAGGGCGGGCGGCCGCAGCCCCTGCAGCACAGCGCGGGGTCGGCAGCGGCTGCGGCTTCGGGCGGGCCGCTCGCGCCCGGGGCGGCTTCCTGCTCGGCCGGCATGGGAGCCGTGCGGCCTGAAGGCCTGGAGGCCACGGGCGGAGCCGGGCTGCCGCGAGAGCTCGAGCCCACATGGCTGTTGACCTCTGGCCTCCAGCGTCCGCCGGTGCCCTGCTCCTCGTCACCGTCACCATCAGCATCGTGAGCGCCATCACCATCGTCGTCATCACCAGCCTCCTCATCACCACCACCATCACCGTCACCATCACCATCACCATCATCATGATGATCAGCATCACCCACCATCATCATCAGCATGATCATCATCATCATCATCATCATCATCATCATCATCATCATCATCATCATCATCATCATCATCATCCTCATCATCATCCTCATCCTCATCCTTATCCTCATCCTCATCAGCATCATCATCATCCTCATCCTCATCCTCATCCTCATCCTCATCATCATCACCACCACCACCACCATCATCATCATCACCACCACCACCACCACCATCATCATCATCAGCATCATCATCATCAGCATCATCAGCATCATCATCACAACATTCACAAACGCCATCATCATCACCCTCAATGCTACAAGCGTGATCGTCATCATCATCCTTATCATCATAATCATCCTCATCCTCATCATCATCATCATCATCATCATCATCATCATCATCATCATCATCATCGCCACCATCAGCATCATCAACATCATCAACATCGGCATCAGCATTACCACACTCACAAACACCAGCATCATCACCCTCATTTGTACCAGCATTCATCATCACCACCACCATCATCATCAGCATCATCATCATCGTCGTCGTTCTCGTCGTCGTCATCCGCATCAGCCTCAGCAGCAGCATCATCAGCATCAGCATCATCAACACCACCATGATGATCAGCATCATCATCGCAATCATCACCATTATCATCATCATCATCATCATCATCATCATCATCATCATCATCATCATCATCATCATCATCATCAGCATCAGCATCAGCATCAGCATCAGCAGCATCAGCATAATCACAATCAGTGGGACTCTCTCCTGCTCCCATTCCCTCCGCCCCCTCTGCTCCTCGTCACGAACACTACTCGTCCGCTGTTAAATTCGATGCCATGGGGATGCGAGCTCCATTGTGTCTGCCTCTCGCTCCGCCCTCCGCTCCGCCCACGTGCCCACGTTCGAAACCTCCTGAGTCCTGGCCGCGGTGCGACCCTGTGGAGCGGTGAACATGGATAGCTGCCTGCTGGTGGAGGCGGGCAGACATCTGTGAGGCTACACTGCACGCAAGAGTGGCCATAGGCAAGAGTGACCTTTTCTGCCCGTCTCTGAAGGGCCGGGGGGGGGGAGGGAACGACGTCCCCTGGGAACGACTCCGAAACGGTGGAAGAATGGAGAAACGCTGGCGATGGATCTCTCTCTCTCTCTCTCTCTCTCTCCCCCCCCCCCCAACTCTCTTTTTTCTCGTTCTCTCTCTCTCTCTCTCTCTCTCTCCGTCTCCAGCTCCCAACCCGCTGCCCAACGGGGGGCAGGCGGCGGATAAAGGCGGCCCGATTCCGACTCGACGCCGGGAGATTTCCGTCCAGACCTTCCGCGGCAGCCGCCGCCGTGAGAGACAACAGCGGCGGCATGCCCAAACCACGACCGAGCTCTCGGCCGTCGTCTGAGGAAGCGACGGTTCGCAGATACAGTCAGACCTAGGCTGGAAGAACCTCCTTCGAGGACCTGAGACCCTCCGTCGGCCAAAACAGGCAGAACATCCGAGAGTACCCTCCCCAGGATGCACCAGAACATCCAACAAACACGCAGAACACCAGAGTTCCCTGCCCGAGCCGACCTCGATCTCAAACCTCGGTCCGATTGCACTCCCTGGACCTCTCCGCGGGTGCGTTCTGACCATATTTCCAGGCGAATCCAATAGTGGCGACGAGAGCCGAGAACGGCGGAAACGCGGGAAGGGTAGCGGTGAATCGGCACCTCTCCTTCCTCTAGGTTTACACCTCGGGCTCGCAGCGAACTGCTGCTGGGTCTTGGGCCTGCCGCGTCCTCCCACACGCCTCCCACATTCGACTACACGCAAGAGTGACCCTGGGTAAGAGTGACCTTTGGTGCGCGGCTCTTTGGGGACCGCGAGGGGGGCAAACACGAGCGCGCAAGACAATGCTGCCGCATCGCGTTCGGCGACGGGGGGGCCCATTGTGCCCGCACCGAAGGTCACTCCGGCGAAAGGTCACTCCTACGTGCAGTCGACACGTGGGCACCCTCTCCGAACCGACCCCGATCTTCTGCTTCGGTCCGACGGCATGGGACGAGCCTCCATCCTCGGCGGCGGGCGGGGGGCGGTACCCTGGGCACGCCGCGGCGGGGACGGGGCGGGAGACAGGCCAGCCGGTGATA